ATTGGCAGAATCAATTCTTAATTTCTCGATAATTGAAATCAACAAAGCAAAAAAAAAAAAAAAAAAAATAGGAAGAAATTTCAATGTTCAACTTCAATGTTTGTTGCCAACATGTTTACAAATTATAAACTGTATCATTGTTAATAATGGTCCGATAAAGATTTTTCGAATGTTTTGTTTTGTACAAAATTTGTTAACCTTTCAAATAATAATGGGTGCAATCGACAATAAAATTTGTATTTTCTTTCTAGTTATTTGCAAATAAATCGTATTTTCCTACATACTTTTTTTTCTTGAAATTTCGGAATGATGTGACTAATTTTTACCAAGGAGAAGAAAATCTTCAAAAGGGCTGCTCTTTCATTGGATTCGATGAAGAATTAAAGAAGATATGCCGAATCAATAAAAAAAGTACTTTGAAAAATTATATATAAAGTTGACTATATTATTATGTTGACTTAAAAACTAATTAGCTTGCTCTACAATAGCTACTCAATTAAGCAATAAGACAACTATCCAATAACTAATACCATTTCAATATTGTATCCATTAAAACCTATTGGGTTTTACCTTCTATTTATTAAGTAAGAGAGAAGAATGGAAGCTAAACCTAAATATAAGAATTTCACCACATTGGCGACATTAATAAACAAGAAAATTAAAACATACCCATAAAACGAGTTTATTTTTATTAAAGATATCAAAAAATTGTATTCTACATTATCTGAAGTGCCCAAGGGATCTTAAAAATATTCTCTTTCCTTTGCCTTTTCAATAGATTTTCCGTTGAATATCTCTAAATATTACTTCGCAAAGATGTTTTTTTTATCGATACACGATATCTTCGTCAATTCCTCATCAGATCAATGGTTGAGTCCTAATTTTAAAGATCTTCAGGAGAGAAAAATAGTCATATTCCCCCCGAATTCCAGAAAAAAAAATTTTATTTGCTAATAACTCAAAAAGTATACATTTTTTGTTGATTCTACTCATAATTATTTGAAACATTACTTAATCCTTTATAAAAATGAAAAACTAAGGTCGGTGCTTTAAACCACACAATAGAAGTGAAAACATCGTCAAGACGAAATTAATAATAGGAAATATAAACTATAAATAATTATTTATAAAGAGGAAGAAATGCTGAACATTTTCCTCGCTTACAATATGCTGATCCTATTTTTAGTTTCCGAGTTGTTATCTTAATCCATATATTCAATAAAAGTCGTTATCATTTGGTTTTCGTCACTCTAATACGGCGTCGCGTTAAGACACAATTTTGAATAATAGCTCATTACAAAGAGGATGAAATGACGAACATTTCCCTCGCTAACAATATATGCAGGTCCGATTTTTAGCTTTTGACATATTTTAATCCATACCCAAAAACACTTCAATTAATCGACTCCAGCAAACTTTACCCGAACATTACACATCGGAAATCTGACGGCTCAATCTAATTCACTCCTCACAAAAAAGTGCAAAACGCGCCTAAAAGAGGTTTTCACATTAAAAAAAATCTCCGAAATCGATTAGAAATTTAAAACAATTCACACCGACGGGAGAAGCAAAATGGGTACAAATATTTTTTAAGAGTAGACATAATTGTATTTCGCATCTCGAAAAAATCTCAAATACGAATTTCCATAGCAATAAATAAAATAAAACTTTTTGCATCAAATCTTAGTCTAGATTGTTGTTTTTATTATCGAAAATCGCCAAAATTATGAAAATTTCGACATGCTTTCTAGTCCGAAGTACAGACTCCTTTTTATCTAATTATCAACATCCTCCTGAAATTTCGTAACTAGTTTCATCTCATCCTAACCGACAACTATTTTATTTACGAAAACTCATAGAATTGGGGCGTTTTCAATCCGGAGGGGGGCAAACTTTGTCTATTTAATCAGGTACTACATACTCGTAAATACTCATTTGCTTTCTACTTGGATCGTAAGATAATTTGATCATAAAATCGACAAAAAATGTAGCCTACAAAAATATTGAGTTGTTTGTCCAATATAACCTGGTTATTAAGAAAATTTGAGGTGTAGGTCACGACAAACGGCTCAATATTTTTGAAGGCCACTTTTTTTCTAAGAAATGGTTCTTTCATCTTATGATGCGTCTAATTATTTGATTTCCTTATTATTTTGTCATTTGTTCACTGACCAATATTTTTTACGAATTATTCGCACGGAACAACTAGTTATAAATATCAGCATTTTAATTTTTATAAACCTAAACTTGCGAAAAGTATCCAATGGCAACAATGGTGCCAAATTTTCGACATTATTTCCATGTATCCATGGCTACTAATATCCTGATACTACTACGTATTATACACGGTAGATAATTTACTGTAAAATATAAACAAACTGAAGGTCGTGCTACCGAACTTAAAAACACCAATGAATAGTTAAATAGATTCTTTTCAATTATTTGTCATTACTAGCTAGGAAAGAAGCAATACACATAACAGTATAACAATTTTCATTTTCATTAATAAGCCTTTATGAAATAATAAATCGAGAACTAAAAAAAAAAAAATTCAGGTACGTGAAGTATAGATAAACCAAGGAAGAATTTTTTGCTATAAAAATAAATAAAATAAAAGAATATTAATTAAGATATTTGTTTTCAACGAGAGTTCTAATATCTGTATAACACATGTCCCTCTCCATGACGAAAATTCGTCATTTCGCAATGAACAGCTGACAAATGACAAAAATTCGTCATTTGTATATTACAGAAAATAATTTATTTTTCAACCCGCATCTTTTAATTACATTTATTAACAATCAGCTGCCTAAATAATGAAAGCAGAAAATAATTTATTCTTGATTTTTTAAAATTAAAAATAAATAAATTCTAATTTTTACCAAACAGTGATAAAGAGATACCGATATTCTGTGAATGGTTGTACAAAAAATTATCGGACGTGTATGTGTAAATACTATCACTTAAAAATCCACTTTTAAATTTCTGAACTAGGTCGATGTCAACACACCGTATTCAAGACGATGTTGAACTTAGGTGGTTAATATTTTATGTTGACTTATATGTCAACTATTAACATGTCCAAAGACGTCTTCAGCACAGAATTTTGACAAGGTTGATGATAGAAAATATCTCTTCCAGAAAAATATCTTTCGGTAGTAGAATCAAATAATAAAACGGAGAATATATTATTTCCACACTGGAATATTAAAATTCCATTTAACTTAAAAAAAAAATCTAAAGATTTCACATTTAAAAGGAAAAAGTGTATAATTTATCAAAATTCCTTGACTGATAGTGTCATTCCTAAAATGGAAAAGATTTATGTTGGTGAGCAATTCTTTACTGCCAAGATAACAAAAATGGGCCTTGAATTGGCAATAAATCACTAAAAACATAATAACATTAAACTCCAGGATAAAAAAAAAATAAGAAAACACCAGAATGTTCTAACATTAACTACAAGTTCCTCCTCTCATAATATGTACCCAGAACTTTTAGAAGACAATTGGAGGATTAGCATACAAATCAGTTGATGTGCCCTTACACCAATGGCTGCTTAAATCACCAATAATACATAATTATTTTGAAAAATGATAATTCCACAAGTTGAAAGTCGATATATCTACAAATTTTATTAAGATGCCTGCGTATTAGACATTGTTTATTATATTGCTTGTAATAAAAAAAAAATGTTATCAGTAAAAACAAGTAACATCATATATAACATGACGATCGCAGGCATAACGAAGTTGGTCAAATTTGTAAATAGACACGAAACTTTTTTTATCAACTAAGCTGTTATTTAACTGTCAATTCAGATCTTATCTGACAACCGCGAACACATCGCTAACAAACCAGTTTTAATAACACGAAAGTAAAAACACCACAATTCTGATAAAAAGAAAAATTGTTGAAATTTAGTGAACTTAATGAAAAAGGTAAATAAATTCTGTGAAACACAGGGTAATATGACTAACAGATGCCGACTTTTAAATTTCAACAGCCTTCAATAATTCGTGGAAAAAACTATTCAAATTAAATAAACCATTCATAAAAACCATGAATTCATTACATAATTTAAATAAATAATATATCAACAGTAAAATGATTTTTTATATTTAATAACCTTAGTTCATTAACAACAGCACAATGCAGTCAAAATAATATCGTTAATACTGTTATTAGTGCACTAAAATAAATACATCAACAAATTTACGAATCTTGTCAACTCTTATTAAAAAATACATAAAACAAAACCTAAGTAACTACAGAAAAGTAATACTTATAAGAGCAAAAAAAATTGGCTGAAATGAGTTAAATCAAGAAAATTATATGGGAGATAGAACTCTATAAACCTTTACGAAAATTTGAATAATTAATTTATTTATAAACAGAAACTCATTAAGCTAAATTTGTTATATAAAGCACTTCAGATAACTCTATAAACTAAAATTTAAACTTATACTTACGAATCTGTATATTTGAATTTGATGAGTAAAAGGATTATTATGACACTTCAAACATAGAAAGTGCCTAAAGATATTCCCTGTTTACGGTTTTTAAGACGTCAATTAACTCCTTTCTTAATTAGATTAAGTACACAAAATAGTTGGAAAAAAAGCAAAACTAAATACGTGAATTTAGATTTTATGAGAAAGAATTGAAAAACAAAAGTGAAGAACCGAGGTTTCACTGACAAATGAAACTTAACTTATGATAAATGTCGGATTGGTATTAATCCATCAAATATTTGATATTTATACTTAATGGTTAATGATTCTGTTAAAAAAAACTGATATAATCTAAAATAATAACTCCTGTCAATTTTCTTTAATAGTATAATTGCTCCAATAAATCGGAATTAAACAGGTTATGTAACCACGAAGAGAAATGAACCGATTGAAATCAATTACTAATGAAGAATTATTGTTTAATATTTGACTATCTCGAACTAAAACCTACTTATCAAACTATAAGTATAAAGGCATAAAACTTACAGACAGCATAGCAAAATAAGTTCACACCATGAACGATCAAGCTGATGAATCGATTATTCTTATCAGAGAACAACAATCCTAAGCAATATGAAATTTCTAGAACATCGACTGCTACAAAGAAGAATTTTTGAAGATTATAACATGATTTAAGTATATACTCTATGGATAATATCACGTAATAAATATTGTGACCATCAATAAACTAACATTTGTAAGTATATTATAATTAAAAAAATATTATCTCATTACTAATCCACTTTTAATTTATTTTTAAGGTCATTTAATGATCAGTAATTAAAAGCAAAAAACAATTCTTTGGCAAATCTTATTTTTACTAGACAGTTAACGAAGTTTCAAAATATCAAAAAAGTGTTAACATTTTACTAACCAAAAATGCATATTTTAACAAGATTTTAGGTGACAGTAAAAATGAAAATCTACTAAGCTCAGTACTTTGAAAAGAAGTACTATTTTAAAGAAGTACTGAAAAGTCTACAGTCGTATAAGAAGGTTATATGACAGAAGACACGCTCAATCGCCAAGTTCTTCCTTAATCGGTTACTTTTAATTAAAAGAGTTCACTTTATAGAAGTTGGGTGTAATCGAGAAAGATCACCCAACCACATGGTCAATCCTCAGCTCATGTAACATAATAAAAAATAATCAACCTCGGCAACGGAGAACAGTCCTTTTGTATTTAATTACTCGGGGGCGTGGTGGCCGACTGGGCTAACAGTAGCCCGGCAAACAGATAAACGGAGTTATGAGAGATTAAAAAGTACGAATTGGCGTCCCGGTGCCTGAGCGTTTTTCAAATTCTCCGTCCTCACACCCCCTCCCCCGGCCCGGGTTAACCCCGTATAGCCTAAAAGTCGAAGTAGAGAAAAAAAAAATGTATTTACCTACCCCGCTCTCTTTTAGGTGTAAACAAAATTCTAAAACTGTTATATTTAATTATTCGGAATCTATAAATTTTGGAGACGTGTTTTTGGCAAAGAAGAGGTAAACAGATGACGAAATATTAATAGTCTGCCATGTGATAGTTTTATAATAAAAAATAAATCAACATATTTTGGTGTTCCAGTCAGGTGGAGTGGGCATATAATAGAGAATATAACAGCACCAATGAACATTTTAGATATACTTTAAATGTAACAGAGCAAGCATAATATGTAATTGAAGACTGATTCATATATGAAATGAAACTACGAACTTGCTGGAATAAGTTTAATATAATAATAAAAAAGGTTATCTGCGTATTTGTTCCTTTTATTATTGTATATAGTAAAAAAATAATAATTTTTGGCCTGTACTAATAATCCCATAGCATTTTGGTCAGAGAACAAATGGCAATATAATATGCAAATAAGTAAAAGTGATGTATAGGGAGAAGGAGGAGTTAATTTTCTTTCAACATAATAGACCAAAACTACGTACAATTAGGTATATCTTTGCTAAAAATGGGATGATTTTGAATTGAATTGGAAAGCCTTCCTGATTATCATGTATGTGATAAACCACAAACTTTATTATTTTTGAGTTATGCAAAAATAAAATTTTATTTTCTTCGCATCTTTTTTTCTTGAGTTGTCTGAGAATTGCGCTTATTTTTCGCTCTTGAAGAAGAAAATAATCTTCAAAATTATGGTTCGATTTGATGAAAAATTAACGAACATAAGACGTACCTAAAAAAAAAAATTGAAAAATAATATGCAAAGAAACTGAACTGAATTGGTTTTTATAGAAATCTGTTAAATTTTTATTAGTTTATGGAATATAAAAAAAATTATCTCCTGGAATATTAAAGTTGTTAATTTTAGGGATCCTTAAATTGTCCAATAGAGCTCTCCCGAAAAATATAAACCGAAAATAGAAATTAAAAAAAGGGGTAATAAAAACAAAAGTATATTATCCTTCGTTTAAGTTTTTATTTTTCATCGATTATAATAAATATAGATATAATATAATTTTTTTTTTCCAAAACTTTAACTACAAGTCATAAATATCTCATGCCACCGTGCCTAGCTATCGGCAAGTATTACGATTTGTTTCGAAAACGGAATATTTTAGAGTTATAAAACGCAGTCTTGATTTCCACGTCGAAATATTTAAAACCCAATTTGTTTTGTTTAAGTAAATTTGTAGTACCTATCAATTTATGAATAGAAATTGATTTTCGACAATTACACTTTTTTTTATCTTATGTCAAAATGTATTGTGGAGCCTAACTAACTACTATGTTATGTATAGTATAAATTATACCTGGTATATAGCTTTTTAATGGATAAACTATTCCTATTTAGTTTTAGTTTTTCCGTCTTAAATCAGCCTGAACATTCCTATATTAAAAACTCTCATATATTATTCTCTAATATTTCAAGTTATTTTAATATATTTTAGTCAATTCATGATCTAATTTGAGTCCATTTCAATGCAGAATATTTATTTATATTTCATTGTTAGAAAAGAAATTATTGGTATACATATTATAAACATAAATTAAACCATAATGGTTTCCAAAGCACCCCAAGTTACCAAAGCAAGTTGTGGAAAAGTGTATTGGAAACTGCCATTAGTAACTGGCCAAGGTTTGTTTTAACAACCCGGTATAGTGTTTTTTAATAACTTTTATACGTTATACCAGCAATAAATTTTTTAGAAATAAATAGATTAGGAACGTTGGGAATACACGACGTCAACGTGAATTGAACTCCTATTTTTCATGAAGTTTAGCGTTGACCTTTGAATTTAATAGTGAACAATATACAATTAGAAATTAAATTTGTTAATTTGTGTAATTCCAATTTGTTTTGTAGATTTCATTATATTTGACATCATGAATCTTGTTCAGAAAAATGTTTGCTCTAATTTCTAATTTCTCTTTGCATAAACAAAACGTTTTTTATTTAGTTATCATGTCAACACGATACCAAGTACCCAGTGTATTTTTGAAGGATATGATTTTTGTTGTGAAATTTAGCTGTGGATTTAGAATTTTAAACAGATTAATTAATTATGAAGATTTTTCTTGAAATGGTGGGAAGTTCTGCGTTTTGTTTTTATTAGAGATTTCTGGTGTATTGGCTGGAAAACAATCAGTGTTTTGTTCTTATTTACTTTATTTCGTAACTTTAAAGTGGTATAAAATAACAGTGGATGCAGTTATTTATATATTAATTTTTCTTTTTCATGTGAATATGTGATAACAAGAAGTTTCTCAAGATTCTTTAATGTTATTAAAAGAGTAACCTGTTTTAATGATATCAGGTTATTTTTATGTTTATGCATAATGAAACGAAATGATCCTTTTGAACTACTTGGAACCTGATTTATTGAAAATGTAACCTGTTTTTATTTGCAATTTTCATGCAAGAAGTATGAATATTTACATTTTGTTGACATTTGATAGTTATAAACTTGTAAATTGTGTTAATAAACTTGTATAGTAATTCAGTATATGAACTGTGGTAAAATCAACATTATGGCTGAGGCTTCAAGTGTACCGAGATTAAATGAGTCAGTTAAGATTGAAGAGAATCATTCTCCTGTTATCTGCAATTTTCCAGTTGCAAAGCCCCGCCACAAGCCTCTTACTAGCCCTATAGTTACTTCTAAAGAAATAGCCAAAGAATTGCTCGAAAGAGCAGAAAAACGGCAAAGATCATACCCTGATGGTGTTGATGTTCTTCTTGCCATGAAACAGCCTTCTAGTCCACTAAAAACTCAAAGAAAAGAAGATGGTAAACTTGATGCCAATGAACTTTTGTCAATATTACAGGATGGTGCAGAAGTTCATTATGTGGATAAACCTAAACCAAATAAAGTTCCCCGACTTTCTAGGGGCCCATATAAAGATTTAAAAATAGACCCAGAACTAGAAAAACGCCTTGCTTTGCAGCAATTGATGGAATTTTCTAGAAAACGTGGTCGCCCGAAGAAATCAGAGACTGAAAGCAATAATAATAATAACAATAACAACAACAATAATAAAGGCCAAGGTTCTTCTGATGTCAAACAGGCTAAGAAAAATGCAATTATTAAAGAAGTAAAGACCCCCAACAGGGAGCTAAGAAAATTATTACAAGATGAAGGTGCAATTAATATGCTGTATGCCATCGAGAAAGGAGAGAGTGAAAACAAAGAAAGACTATTGCCTTCTAAAAGAAGAATGAAAAAAGCATTTATTAGAAAAGCTCAGGAAGTTACAGAAGCCCTTCTGTGTGGAGCCACATCTTCAGGTGTATCACTCCGGCATAGATCTATTTCAGAGAAGAGGAAACCTTCTACTGATTCGGTCGATTCAGAACAATCAGAATTTCAATTTACTCCTCCTTCAGATTCCAAAATAATAAGGCGGCACTCTTCATCCAGCTCTTATTCGAGTCGTGCTTCTAGTCCAAGAATGTCCTCCCCTCCTTTGGTTCGCCCTGATGAAGGAGTTCGAATATCAGAAAGGACTGAACAGCTTATTGAAGCTAAATGTAAAGAACTCAATCTTCAGCCAGGACATTCTCAGATGATTAAGAAATTGATACAAGAAAAACAGAATGGTTTTAAAGAGAGATTGCAATCTGAGTTTGCTAATAAACTTAGAGCTGCTATCAGTCGTAATGAATCATCAACAGCATCTTCATCAGAAAAAACATCCATATGGAAAATGGTCGAAGAAGACTGGGGAAGTGGAAGCGATTCAGATGCAGACCAAAACCGTCCAAAAGAGAATGGAGGTGAAGAGCCAAGCACCATCCCTAACAAAGTAAATTCATCATCAAGTACTTCTCAGTTACCACCTCCACCCAAACCTCAAGGTTAGTTAATCGTTAATTAATTTTGCTTATATCATCGGCACCATGTTTAAGCAACAAATGTGAGCTTTCTAACATTGTACATTTATTACTTTAACGTGATGCCGACGATATATTTCATTTATAATAATCGTAAGATTATATGATTAATTTAAATATAGTGATTGATTAATTTTTTATAAACCTTGTAGTTTAATTTAGTTAACAAAATTGAGTATTATGCTATATCCCATTTCAGACTAGCTGTGCCCTACAGTTTTACCTGCATATAATTCTTATTGTTTATTCCTGTTTAATTTATATGAATAAATTATAAGTACATGTAATTGCTATAATTAATTGTAATGCTTGTGTAATTAATACATAATTGCACTTGATTAACTTTATTAAGTTAATACATGTTATTAATGCATTATAACATGTGGAATTTAAATGGGTAAATGAAAGGGCCCATCACTAAAATAAAAGAAGGTACTACTACTGTATAAGTATCTCTTCACTTTCATGGGTGGCACAAGGATGGCAGGAGCCGAATTTTCTAGTAACGCCCCAACCTTTGTTTATCCCTTTTGGGCCAGTGTAGTAAGCTGAAATCGAAAGTAGCGATATAATTAAAGATAATAAATGTCCCAATTTTAATTGAAAAGAACCAGTAGGGAGTTTTCGGGAGTCATTAATCGTGATATATACATATATAAAGGTAGGCTATATTTTGAACATGTCAACCCTCGGTTATTCTCATTTATAGCATGATCTTGGGATCTTGGTCCACTGATCAAAGTGGTGTAACACTTGTATAGTGGTATCCAAAATGGAAATACTAGCAAGATTTTATAGGAACATGTTTTATGAAAGTATCTAGACTTATTATTATTTGCAAATTATTCTTTATAAATAAGTCATACCTATGAGATGACTATTTGTCTTCACAATAGTTGCAAAACATTCAATCCATTCACTCTTGAAATTAAAGAGTGCTTATAACTAAGGTTTCATATTCTGGCATAGTCATTAGATCTAGCCAATGTTACTACTAGTGCCGATTAAGATTTATGAAAAGAAATGTTACCAAAGAGCCATGGTTTGCCAACTGCTTTTATAGACCACGTATGGAATACTTCTATTAACTTTTGATTTGTAGTTAACGACTTTTAGAACTCTAATCATATGTCGGCACCAAAAATAAGTCTTTGTCATCTTCTATCCTGCCAATCTCTTCTTACGCATACCTCTGTTCATCATTCCTTCCTTAACTCATACTAGCTTCTCCTCAGACAACCTTTCTTCCTTCTTCTTTCCGATTTCCAATTCCAAAATCCCTTAGGCCATCATCCCTCTTCCATTCCATCACATGATACACCACTTGAGCCTCATAGTTTCAATGGCATGGAGGATGTTCTCCATCCATTCTTCCTCTATTAACTGCTTCATTACTGTTTAGATATCTGTCTGAAATGTATCAATCCTACAGATTTATGTTTTTAATTCATATGTGTAATACTTTTTAAGTTCAACCACTTTTAAGCTAAAATGTATATAATAATTGATATAGAAATACTCTGTTTTAGTTTTTATTTTCTACTACATTCATTTTATTTTATTCTTTCCAAATTTAATAAATCAATAAATAAAAAAAAATTACAGAAACAAGTGAACCCAGGGAAGAGAGGGTTAATGAAGTCCGAGAAGAGCCAAAAGAGGCAAAAGACGAGACTAAGGAAGACCCTAAGGAAAGGAGATTGCCCAGGGAAGTATCTTCTTATAGGGAGATAAAGATGGTAGTGAACGATGGCTTGGCAAGCCTCAGCCTCGCTACCAACTCCACTATTCTGCCTCATGCTTTGAGCACAAAGGTAATCTAGATTTTCTGTAATTTTTATTAGTTATTTTAAACAGCAAATTTTTTATATCTTGTAGAATGACTGAGAAAGCATTAACCCTTTTGATTAATTGTTTTTGGAATAGGAGCAATTAAAAGTTATAGCTCTAGAATGAATTTATTTCTTGATATTTTGAAATGTAAACCTGTTTTTTGAATAATTTTAAACATATATACTGCCAACCCTGAACAACAGTTAAATGTTTTGTACATGTCATTGATCTAAAAAAAATTTTATGGCATTATCTTTGATTACATTAGGTAATCTCTTAATTATTTGATAAGATTTGTTCTTTTTTTCTTAAATCAGATGACGTGAACCACTAAATCCTGAAAAACTGAGATCAAAATTATTATATTTCTATTTTTGTTTTGTTTATACTAGCTCTGCGGTTTCATTCACATTGAATTTGGATTTTTCATTTATCTGTATTATAAACATTATGAGTATTATTACAACCTAAATTTTTGAAGAAGAAAAATAAAAGAAAAATTGGCAACAGAAAATGTATTCGGTCCAATGGATTTATACTTACAATGCTTTAAAAGAAAACTTACAGCACTTCAGTGCAATTCATTCTCTCTGTGGTATATTTTTTTCTGCAACCTGATGTAGATGATAAAACTTGCAGTGGCCCATCGGAAAAAGTCTTCTTTGAATTCAGCGCCTTTATGCTTTGAAGTTTTTCCCTACCTTAAACTGCTAATAATATTTTGGGGAAGCTATGTTAGCATAATTGCCTGCAATTTTCCATATTGATTAAAGTGCATGGCTACTGCTCCATTCTTGTAGGTGAACCATGATATTATAAATCCTAAATCCTTCATCTGTTAACAGTCTACTTAAAGCAGAATTTTTTTCTTTTCTTTTTTTTACTTTCAGTTCCTGAAGGGAGAGCGGGGTAGGTTACTTAATGATAGGGTACTTATGGCAGATAAATTATTTATTCTGTTTTTTTGGCTTCTTGACTTCCTGAGGCACCAGACATCCAGCCATAAAGTGAGTACCCTTAATTAAATAATTAAGGGGAAAACCTGATGGTTGAGCGTGATCTCGGTCACATTACCTCCTTTGACAACCGTCGACCAAGAAATAGTATCTTTCCTACATAGTACTGAAACCAAGACCCTTCATGAGTTATAGTAGAACAGATTATTCTCTTTTTTTCCCCTGGGATTAGTGTTCTAACCATTAAACTCTTCAGTTTAATATATTCACCTCAATGTTTCTGTATGTAGATAATCTGTTCAGTATTATTTCTATTTATTAGCTACATGTGTTTTAAAACTGTTCAAATATATTGTGAATTTAATTAGTGTTCTTAAACCCAGCTCATTTTCAAATTATACAAACGAAAAATAAAAAATTATGTTTATAATAAACATACCCTTTATTTACAGAATAGACTTATTTTAATGATGGGTTTTTATATTACTTGTCTATTAAAAAAAAAAAAAAATGTGTTTATATATTTATTATTTTACAAATAATGTTTGCACTTTGATATTCTTAATCTAAATTTATGCTGTCACATCAATTAAATCCGATAACATAATACATTCTCTAGGTACTGAGGGAGTTGAGCCTTGCCTTGGAGTATGTCTCTCAGAGTGCAGACGTGAAGTGCATCACCTTGATGAGCGATAGCATGGACTTTTGTCTCGGCTTCGATCTACCTGGCTTACTGTCGAGGGACCAGGGCGAGCGAAGAGCTCTAGCTGCCCAAGCGGCCCTAGCTATCAAGTAATTATGAGTAATCTTTTATAGTCAGCTAATAGCCTACCTTACCTCAAAGCTACGGCCCTCATCTTTACTATTTTGGAATTAATATTTATTATAACATAGTATGATTTTGTAAAGTATCGTCCAAAAATATTTTGTTTGCTATACTATCATATATTATGATTATATATATATATATATATATATATATATATATATATATATATATATATATATTTAAGTGTGGACGTATACAAGATAAGTACTTAAAAAAGGTTCATATTTAGTTAAAAACTTGAAATAACTGGATCTTGGAGGTGGCCTGGGTCCATGGTAACATATTATAAACGGCTGCTAAATAAGAAGCAGTCAAAGTGTCTCTCGGTTCTAATTTATAAATATTCATTTATAAAAGCTATTAAAATACATTATGTATATATTTATAAGGCACTGGGCTGCTAAGCTCAAGGTCCCGGTTTAGAATCCGGCTGATGTCAAGTAATTTTTCATCAGCCGTGTGGATTGACTCTGAGGTCGGGAGATCTTCTTTGGGCATACCCAGCCTCTATATTTTTCATATTATGATTTCTTTTATTATTTTTTTATTTTGACTATTTAATTAAACTATATTCTTGTTTATTCATCTCTGAGGCTCCTTAGCCCACATTTTTGTCTTTCTGTATTATCCTAAAGGGACTCGTCCCAGGATAAATAAAGCATTATTATTATTATAAAGTGGATACTCTTAATTAATTAATTAAGGAGGAAATCTGGCAGTTAAGTGTGATCCTAGCCCGATCACTTCTCTGCACAACCGTTGGCCTTGAAATAGTATTTCCTAACAAAGTACTGAACCCATTACCCTTCATGGGTTGTAGTGGTACAGGTTTTTTCGAAGAAAATATTTAAATTAAAAGATATTGCTTGGATGGAATTTCAATTCTGGAAAAACCTCCATTTTATTGAATTTTACAGTTAATTAGAGCTTTCACATGCCTATGTATTGGACCTGTATGAATACAGAGGAAAAACATAAAGTGTTTTGGATTAATTATACCAAAGGCTATAAATAAATAATTAGCCATTGTGTAATGAATTTGCAGCATTTTTGACGTACGTAGTAAGGCTACAAATACTGAAGCCTTTGTTGTTTTATATTTTTACATACTCTTCATTTCTCTTTTTAACCTGCTTTTCATTTTTTTTTATAAGTAAATTATTGAATGATAGATTACTTATTTATTGACATATAGGTATTTATATGAGTTTTAAACTTATTTTACCAAAATTGATATTAAGGTGTATTTTCTTATTGTATTTCTGTTTATGTCTACTATTTTTTTAGGATATTGTTTGTTATATTTTTATTCATTCATCATATTTCTTAATTTAAGATTAATATTATAATCTTATCTATAAAATTAATTTTATCTTCCTCTAATCTTATACATTATGAAACTAGATTTAGCGACATAGCTGTGCAGCTTCAGTTTTGTTACAGAGAATTCGCTTGTAAGGTATGCATGCTCGGTAAGCCGTTGATAGCAGGGGTAAGAGGGAGAGCGATAGGCCTCGGCACCGTTCTGCTTTGCTATTGCGACATGGTTCTTGCAGAGCCTGGCTGTACCTTTTCCACGCCTTACCCTCGGCTAGGTTGCTTCCCGGAGGCAGCGGCCACCACTCTGTTACCTCATGTCATCGGTCTTGCTCAGGTCAGTTCTTATTCTTAATCATTTATACAATTATCAAAATAAATAATGTGAATTATTTTTTGGTTATTTTCATAAAAAAATTTGCAATGATAATGAAGAAATTTTAAAAAATCTGCTGTGCGCAACAAAAAAAGTTCACTTACCACTGAAAGTTGAATAGAAATTATTTTCTGGCCATTTTGGGCTATTATAAAAATTTTTAATTGCACTTTTAACCAAGCTAAAGCTAAAAGCTTACAGCTAACAAATCATAAATACCATTAAAATAACAAAAAATCCTATTTATTATATCACCGGTTGATTATGCATTGTACGATCCATTGCTTATAGATTCTCTGTCATAGAAAGGTCAAAAGTTGTCTCATTAATTAATTGTAAATGGATACTGTTGGAATATCACAAAGGGAAAAATCATCAAATTATTCACTAAATTAATTTTCTAAAAAGTTACATGATGATTTTTCGGAATAAACGGACGATAGATACCTCATTATATAAATATAATATAAGATCTAGAGTTATTCAAGAACCCTAACAAAATACACTAAATATATTTAAGGTTTGAATAAAATATTTTTATATTTCTCTTCTTCTTTCACACAATTACAATGAAATAGTATCTAAAACAATGTCATTCCCCTGAATCCGTGGATTTTAAATACTTTTTCAAACTTAACAAAAAATTTATAAGTTTACACTTAGTAAGAAAATTTTATTTAATTTCCTTGAAAACATGTGATTTAACTTAAATAATGTTAGTTTTGAGAAATTATTATTAATTTTTTTATTTTCACTCTCCGTTATCTTCTACAACATTCTATATTGGAAATTGTTTTTTTTAATTCTCTCCTTTCCAACGATATATTATACTAATACCTTCCGTATTTCCAACTAGTATTTCCGGAGATTCATTTTCGACCTGGATAAGCATTTTTCTTCTTTTTTTTCTTTATTCAATTACCAAATTCTTTCAAAAGTTATACTTAGCATTTTTTCGTAACTCTTAATAATGTGAGATATTTAATTATTTAAAATAAACCCTATTAAAGGTACTTTAGAGGAAGGCATATAAGAACATTGGACATTTATGCCCTGTAAAGTGACATCAATGGGGATAAGACCTAATTGATATTAAAGTCCACTTAATTATACAATGATACACACACCGACTTTAATTAAAATCGTTAGAGCTGTTTTTGAGAAAATTATAAAAATGTGTTTCACCGTTGATATAAAGTGGCAATTCCGGTTAGCCGATTTTAAGGGAAAAGTTGCTGTCACATCTAAGGTATATACCTACCTTAAATACCTAATATCAGTTTTTGAGCTAGACTGTTAACATACACACACAGAGACCATTTTGCGGGACTTGGTTATTTGGACTCAGTGTACCTCAAAACATGTATTTCCGTTGAAAACTCAGATTCGAAAATTTTCACAATTGCAATACTTTCTCTTACTATATATTACTTATATAGATAAGTGAAAGTAAAAAAAAGTTATTATATTTTGCCTCTAATTTCTATTAAAATATGATTATTATGATATCTAATGATTATTAGATGACTTGAAGAATGCATTATGTTATAATAATTTTTAAAAAAATTTGTATATGTATGGTTGATTTCACTCATGATAATTGAAAGAATACTAATTCCCTATGAAACCAAAGTAAAGAAAACATCAAAATCAATTATAAATTTGTTCAATTAGATTATTTTTTTTACTGTTATTTTTGGTTTATATTCTTTAGATGAACTTATAACGAATTATTTGGCATATAGCAGCTGTAGAATGAGGACAATGTTGAAAAAAGTTGAACTGCCTGATAGAGCAAAGTTGGTTCAAATGTTTTTTTAAGGATAAACAAAGAACAAAAGCCTCAAATATCAATTTTCATAGCATTTGAAAAATGTTTTGCTTCAAATTTTCACCTTGGCTTAGATTTTAAAAAAATTTGTATCTACCTTTCCATACTTAATTTTTTTTTTCAAAAAGTTTGATAAATTCAACATGTCTGTAAAAATATTTGAGGAGCTTTATTTATTTATTCCTTTTAAAGTTGTTAAATCCAAAAATTATTGATGTGGTTTTGAAGAGCAATCATTCAGCTTTTCAATGGTTGTATTAACATCGAATTAGGAAAAAATCTTGTGGAATCACGAATGGTTTAGTGAATGGTATGGAAAATAGTAATTAGGAAAAAATAAAATGGTTTATATGTTAACCATCTTAGCGTAGCAATATTATTTCTGTAAGGTATTTTTTCCTCAGTATGCCATATCTTCTTTTTCTTCTCAGATATATGTAAACATATTTTCCTTGACAAGACTATTCTTCAAAAATGGTTCTCCATTAGATTATATTTTAAACAACATATTCTATAACTTGTTAGGTAATTGTTGTAGCCAATTGAAATGGTGATGGTGTTATATATACCCTATTTGTCAGACTATTTTTTTAAACTTTAATTTATATCATACTGAATATTGTTTGAAACTTGCTATACGTGTTAAATTTGTTATCTTTACACAGGCAAAGAAGCTGCTGCTGACTTGCGCTAGACTGAGCAGCTTAGAGGCAGAGAACTGCGGCCTGGTGACGAGGCTGGTCAGCAAAGGAGAGCTGAAGCGGGAGCTGGTGGCTGCCGGGAAAGACCTCCTCTCCCACTCACCTCAGGTAAGTGCCATCGTCCTGACAATCTGCTAATGCTAACTTTAATCATAAGATTAATTACCTCTATGTAGTTTGACGTTCCCTACCTCTTTGGATTCTAAGTCAAATACAAAGTTTTGTGCTTCACTAATACTGGTTTGATTGGAGAAAAAAAAAATTTGATGTTTATCTTTGTAGAAAGTTAAATTATTCAAATGAGCATCTAGAATGTTCCAAGAGATATATTGTTTTGAATTAAATATTTTAAAACTTCCAGATTTTCCAATGCTTTTTTAACTTTGACCTGAGTTAACTCGGAATTTTATTCTCTTAAGTGCCATCCATATAATACAGTGAATGAAATAAATGTTATAAATTTATATGATAAAGGTGAAAAGAAAACAGGTAAAGAATTTTGAACAATACCTATTCAAGAGTAAAAAAAACATTTATGCTAGCTTATCATTTGAGTTGGAATCGCAGCTCATGGTTATGTACTGCTATTAGTGGTGGGGTGTTTAGTAGCAATCGGATTAATCAGATACAAGACGATAAAAGGGGCAAGTTCTTAATATCAGCAGTAAGCTCATTGGTGTCATCGAATAAATCTCTCAACTGAGCAAAACAAAGCCATCGATGAACTCAGTGCTGAGTTCAGAAACCTACAAAGACACCTTACAGATGGTATAGACAGGGAAACCGATGGTAAAGGAGAGAAACACTGAATCTATTTAATTTAAACAACTTTCCGAAACAGATATAGAAGCTGTTTAATTTAAATAGATACAGTTCTCTGAAACAGATACAGCCCTCCGAAACTGATATAGCTCCCAGTAGCAGCTCTACTGTTCTTTAAACTGTTTCTATAAACCGGGTGTCATACTGTTTCATTTTATAAACAGCTATGCAGTTTACTGTTTTTTGAACAGTTTTCATAACTTCTTTTCGAAGGAAACTAATTGGCTTTTCTACATATCATGGGTGATAAATATTCAGGATGCAGTCTTTTAAGAAAAGTTTTAATTTTTTATTTGTAGCAACGTTTCAACCCAAACATGTGGGTCATCTTCAGAGCGTGGTTCAAGCACTGAAGCCTTTCAAGTGTATTATATTTTAAAATCTTTTTACATTTTCTTTCTTTTAAGTTAATGGGTCAAGAAGTAAAATGAGTTTAATTTAAGGCTCAAAATTAAATATATGAAAAAGTGCATATTATTTTAGAAACTACTGGAAAACTTTCCATAAAAATTAAATTATCAAAATAAACTTTTTAAAGGATATTCCTATCATTATTAAAAATAAACAGAAAACACACTATTATAACTTTATCGAAGTTCGAAACCAGGTATAACATATAATTGAAATTAATAAACATTAATTTTTTAATATTAAATTTTTATTTTGCTCACTTAGAATTATTTAAATAAATTGTGTAACACTTGTAGTTTTATGAAAGAAATAATGGAAATACTTTCTTATATTTCATTTAATTCTGGATAAAAATCAAAAACATTTTTTTTAAATGATGGTATCAATTTTTTTTTAAATTTTATTTTCTAGAAAATTAAAATATATATATATATATATATATATATATATATATATATATATATATATATATATATATATATATATATACAATCACGGTTTTATGAAGGAAATAATAATCATACTCTAATTAAAGAAGACATAATAGTAATTTATTTGCCTATAAAGCAACAGAAGTTAATTATTACATATTAATATAAATAATAACAGTAAAAATAATTGTAAAACAAATAAAAATATAACTTTGCATACATTAGGAAAAATTATGTATGAGGTAAATAATTACACATTTTGATTTACTCTAATACATCTTAAATGAGATTCATGAGAATTTTTAAGTGGTATATATGCAGTTAATATTTTAATATGAATGTTATTAAAATATTGTGCATTTGGTATATTGAACAAAATAAAACATGTTGATATTTCTTATGCAATGTGGAAAAGGTTGTTGTGTAATGAGTATATTGTGCCAGTTATTCTTAAAACATTAGTTAGTTTATTTCTATCTAATTTATTGATAATCAGATATACTTATTTAATTTATCACAAAAATAAGCATTATAGTGATAATTTATTGAGACCAAAAAGTGCTAATTTGGAAGTATTAGGCTATTTAATTGTGTATCAACGACTCTCTAGAGGTTTCAAAAATATTTTCATTCTATTAATATCTAATATATTTTCCTTATTGTGCTTTTTATGTTTGTTTTCTATCTTTCCTCCATTTATGTTTGTTCTTCTTTTTGATAATTGATAGAATTACAATTCATCGTCTTATCATTAAACACCAATATGGGTATTGTATTGCTACAATAGTATTAAGCAGTATTATTAATTCAATTCAACTTGAAAATTAATTAGTAATATTAATATTGAACTTAAAAGATATAAGCATAATTTTTTAATCCAGTGACTATAGAAAAAGATTTAAAATAATCAGGATTATTTAATGGGTTCTGTTTGATGTGAATTTAATGAAGGAGTTTTACGTTTCTCTATAAAATAAGTTTGTTATTTATTTATTGACAAATATATTTGGTGCTTATCATATTACAGAAATACATATCAGGATAAAAAGTGTAATAATGACTATAAGATATTTTTCTTTTTTAAAATACTTTCCTTATAATAAAAAAATACAATAATTTGGAGATTTAAAAAGTAACTTTCTGATAAATACTAAACAAATACAAAATAAATAAATCTAAATGAGAGTGAACGCTTCACTCGTGATCGTGAATGGGAAGGCAGTAAGCCCTCATCCCTGGGCCGTAATACAATGCTTCGGAAATGTTGTATTCAGTTCTGTCCTTGTTGAGGCAGATGTAATTGTGTGGGCATGCACATTGTATGTACATCGAGTATGTGTCGCTCCTAATATGTCCACAAAAATCTTGGGCTTGACATTTCTTCATCTTCTGTTAATCATTATCATTGATTATTAATAATTAATTTTAAGAAAATTGATGAAAAATTTTTTATTTATTTATTTTGGTTAGTACTTCAAAAAAAGTTATAATATTGAACATTTTATCCAACAAAATATATCTGATATAGTTATTATATGCTCATATAGTTATCAAATTATTTCTCTAGATAACAATAAAATCTACGTATCTTTAGTCTACAGATTTCTTATGCACTGCCAAAATTTGAGTTTTATTTAATAAGCAATGCATATAATTTATCTATAATTAAAGGTATGTACATTGCTCATAAAAAAAATAATTTAAGAAATGAGCTGAAGTGAAAATAAGTTGAAAAATTGAAAAAACTATAAAAATGTGAACTTTTGTGTTTATCAACAAAATTTCTCAAATGTGAATTATCTGTTTTACATTAATAAAAGATAATTATACTACTTTTTTGTTTTTGGATTCGTGTAATAGTGTTTTTGAGACATTTTGCCTCTTAAATATAAATAAATGTTGACTATAGTTCTCTTACTGACAGTATTAGTTACCTCAAGGCCTACCTCTTTAATATTAAGTATAATTTTAAATGAGCTTAGTTCTGTTTAAGTTTTAAAAAAAATTAACATATTTTTATAAGTAAATCTAATAAGTTACTTACATATTGACAGGAATATATGTCATGGACCACAGTAGAATTCTCTAGATGCCCGACGTGTGCCCAATAGGCCGGCCAGGGGCAGCGACAGTAAATTTTCACTATAGTTCTCTTACCAACCGTTTTAGTTGCCTCAAGGCTTACCTCCTTATCTGGGCATTCTTCCAAACGATCCTTTTCACTCGTACAGACCTGTTGCAATAAGATATACATAATTATTAAAAATATTGACAGTATATTTAATATATAGACTACTCTTAATGGAAGTATAGGCACATTTAAAAATTCTGTTACATATTGAAGAAGCATAATTTTTGTTATAAAATTTCCATTAAACCCTTCGCTATCTCATTATTATTCACGGATATTTTTTTTTAAACAAAGATAATTAAGTTACTTTTATAGCTTATTATAAGAATACGCTAGACTAAAAAATATAATTTAGAAATCGTAATCTGTTTATGCCCTGTAATGTATATATTCCACCTTTTTTTAGGATTTCTTATATTATATAAATATTGTGTGCTCATGGTTATTATCAAACACCTTGCTGCTTACTTTTATTTCATTTTAATGAGTTTTAAATTTTTTCATTAAATGAGTAAGCCTCTCTCTATCCAAACTCATTCAACCGTCCTCACTTTATATTGAGAAAGGCTATCGGTCCATGACATCATGAAAAACCTAAGGGTCTTTGTTTTGATGGTGTATCTTATAATTACAGTGTATTACAAAGTCTTATAACAATAGTATTAATCACTATGTACTTGTTGAAGAGTTTTGTGTATTTGCTAAGGGTGTACAATTAAATAACCATTGGTATGATACGATTAAGGTGACACTGGACTGCTATAAAGCTGGACTGACTAGCTTTACAGACCTGATAGATTTTTAGCCATGATAACAAGCATTATTCAATTCCATATCAGTCTATTGCTTCCTAGCTTTTAATAGTTTTATTGTTTAATTTATTATGCTTTTTATTCCTCTGATTTTTAGTTTCCTACAACATTTCTTTTGCATTTATAATGCTTTGTTAAACATCGTATATCAACCTATGCCAAATCAGAGATTATTCCATTTATCATAAATATGATATTGCAATTTGTGAATTAAGACCTCATTATTTTATTAATTAATGTGTAGAAAATTAAAAACCTTGTTGCACGCTGGAAAATATTTATAAAACGTACTAATTTTGTCAAAAAAAAAAATTATCTATAATAATATATTCAGCTAAAGAGTCCGATGTGAAAATTTATTTTTGCGGTAGATAGACTGTTTATAGAGGAAGGCCTTCAAGCTTTATAATACAGCACTAGAACCCATAGAACTGGAAGAAGTAAACATAAATTTAAACATCAATCAATCTAGAAAACTAGGAAATTACAGTAGCGCAGCTT